GACAGTTAGCCATAATACAGAAAGAATTGCAAATTTTTGCTATCACTGGGATTTGAACTCTAGACCTGCCACTTGGGGGTTAACAACCTATTCACTTCATTAGGTCGCTACACCCCTATTTTTCATTTTTTCTATTATACTTTCTCTGCTTTTTACTAACAAAATAAGCCTGCTTATAACTACTACTATCAGAGTTTATAGAAATACTTACTAAAATTAAAACTGTATTGGTTTTTGCTACATAGCTTTTAATAGCTATATAGGCTTCAGCAAATATAAAAAAACATGTCTAGATTCAAAAAAATCAGAGTTCATTATAGCAGTATATAAGTCATCTTACTCTAAATAATAGTAATAAAAATAGTTACTTATATAGTTAGTAAATAAAATGCTTGTATTATTAAAAAAAAAATAAAAAATCACTTAAGTAATAGAAATCTTTAAATGACATATATTTAATCTAATTGCCAATCTACTAATTAAAATTTTGAATAGATGTTTAACAAATATAATTTTTTTAATAGAAAATTAACCAATCAATATTTTAATATACACAATTTGATGTACAAAAAAAATACTGTTTTTCAAAATAAATTAAAAAATTATTCATTAATAAATAAAATTAATAAATTTATAAGATTAATAAAATTAAAATTAAAAATAAATAATAAAAATTTTTTAAGTATAAATTTTTAAAAATAAATTAAAAAATTATTTGTTAATAAATAAAGTTAATAAATTTATAAAATTAATAAAATTAATAAACTAATATTAAAATTAATATTAAAAGTAAATAATAAAATTTTTTAAATATAAATTTTAAAAATAAATTAAAAAAAATATTATATGCAATATAAATTAAATAAAAATTAGTTGTTATTAATGTTTTGTTAAGTATTATATCATTACTAATACTAATGCTATTTTTGTTAGTGTTTTTTGATATTATTATTAATATTATATTTGTTATTACTTTTGTTTAGTTGTTGAAATTAGGTTGTTTAATTTTTATAATTAAGTATATTATGCTTTTTAGCTAAAATTTATTAATTTTTGTAGTATTTGGACACACTAGAGTAGTTAACTAATTTTTTAAACAATACTAAAATAAGATAACTACTTATTATATAAAAAGTTAAATTACATATTATATAATAATTTAGCATATTATTAGTTATTAGTTTGCATATATTATTATATAGTAAATTGTTATATAATATAATTTAATTTTTTATATAATAAGTAATTATTTTACTAACCTTTAGCTAGATACTTGAACTTTTAGACTTTTTTATTTACTATAATTATTTCATATTTGTTATATTCTTTTTTATTATCTTAAATATTGTACAATAATATTATTATCATATATGTAACAAAAATAATTATCAGTATAAATTACTTAAACATATAGTAAAAAAATGTTTGATACCTTTATTTGATTTAATTCAAATCATTTTATTTAATAGTCTAATTTATTAAACTATTTGTTAGAATTTTTATGACTTTAATACTAATCTTAATAAAAATAAATTCATATTTATATAGATTTTCAAGAAATTAAAATTTTTATTTGTATATACATTATATAACTATAGTTTTTTTTATTTTATTTGTATAGTATATTGTTCTGACAAAATAAATATAATCTTATAAGCTTGGTTACAATATATTATTCTCTACTTTAATGTAATTTTTTGTAATATATACAATTTGCAATTAATTAGTATTGTTTTATTCTAATTTTATGTTAACAAATATAAATAAAATCATAATTAAAAAAAATTTTTTAGAATTAGTACATTTTTTACTTTAATATATTTATTCTAATTAAAAAAAACTAAAAAATTTTTATTTTTGAATGCTTTCACATTCATATATAAACATGTCAAAAAAAACCAATATGATGTAAATTATCATAAAATATTAATTGTAGATGAAACTTTATTATTTATTATTACAATTTAACAAAATTATTTAGATGATGTAAAAGTATATTGTGCAAAATAAAATTTTCTAGGCCATAAGTAAATCATAAAATATTAAGATAAAATTAATAATAATTACTTTTTATTTGATTTAAAAATATTATAAAATTTACTTTAACATATTTTTTGCTATACTAAATTAATTGAATGTTCGCAACATTCTTTCTAAAAATTTGCAAATTTTTAATAACTGTTTTAGTTAGGCAACTAGTTCTGTTAAGAAGATTCTAAAAAATACTTAAATCAAAATAAGAAATAAACAATTATAAAAAAAAAATTTGAAAAAAATTATTTACTTGATGAATCAGAAATTTTTTATATAAAAACACTGCATTAATAATGTTATCTTTCTTTGTTGCCAAGTTTTAAGAAAACCATTTTTAGATACTATACAAATTACTATTAATTTGAATTAAAATGATCTTTATTCTAATTACTTGGAAGAAAAAAATTGATATAAGTTTTAAATTATTTGTATTTCTGATAAAAGAGAATTAATTCTACTTTTTTTTATATATTTTGTTTGAAAAATAATGTACTATGCTCTTGCAACCTTTATAACATTTTTTTTATAGAGATCTTTATGTATAAGTCTGATGTTTTTCTCAATACCAATTTTATATCTATTTTTTTAAAGACTTTAAATATTAGCTAATTTACACTTTATTAAAACATTAAAATAAACTTATTTTTAAAAAAAAATCACAGGTTTTTTGGTTCATTCTGATTGTGATTAAGAAAATTTTTCATCCCTATCTGTCTCTGAATAATTTTCTTTATTGTAAACAAAGAATAATTAATTATCTTGGCAAAAATGAATTAACAAGATAAATATAATTTTTACTATATAAAGTTTATTTTAGGTAATCTCAAAAATAGGTATTATAAATAGTAGTAGAGTATAGTTTAGTAATATAGTGAAGTATACTGCCCAAATCACATTTGAGTTAATAAAACTAGCATACTATACTCATTATATATATCATATATATAAAATAGTATAATTATAAAAAATAAATCATCAATGTTAATATATAAAAAAATTATTTTATAATACTGCTAGTACATGTTATAATTATAATCCCACACTATTTGTAATAAACATTGTACTAGTAAAATGATCTGGTAATGTAAAATAAAATTTTTATATGTTGCACATCAGATGAAGAATCAGTTATGTAGCATCGCCATTTTCTTCTGTTGTTGTAAAGAAAAAAAATCAAGATTATTTGTATTGCTTTCAAAAAATTAAAACTTTTACTTACTTTAACAAAATCAAAATTTTTACAAACTTGATCAGAATAATATATTTATACTAAAAATGTATAAAGTATTTTGAATCATTAGTAGATCTAAATAAATCATTAAAAATTGATTTGATAATGAATTCACATTAGAAAGCTATGAAAAAACTTATTATATAAAGCAAATATGATCAATAGAAATTGATCCAAAAAACATAAACCAACTTATTACGTGCATATAGATAAGAATCATTTGCAAATTTAGTAAAGCATTAAAGTGAACAAAATAATCTATTTACACTAAGTAGACAAGAACTAACTTGTAGGATAATGTTTTTTCTGAAACAACTGATATTGATCAATGATTATTCAGCTGAATTCAGTAGCTTTTATTTTTATAGCTAATGTTTTAAAACAGTCAGAATTAAGAACAGCCGTAAGTGTTTATTTGCCATGCTGTATATAAAAATATTCGACTAAGCTGTCTAAATTTATTAAATTATCAACTTAACTAATAAAAATTTTATCAACTGCAACACAATTTTTATTTATTTATTTTTTAAAAAAAGAAAAAAATCATCATCACGATCACGATCACTGCATTTTCTATCTAAAACCACGGGCTTTTAAACTATCAAAATAACATTATAAACTCAAACTATTACAATTCGTAACGACCCTAGCATGACCACCAAGATCAGTTACGTAATCTGTATTTAAAATTTTGTTACCAAATTCTGATGATTTTAATATTGAATGCATAATAAAAAAATTATGAATTTTATTAAGAAATTCCAAGTTAATATTCTATCATATTAGTACTCTGCACTATGTTTGTAATTTGACTTATGGTATACACCCCGATACATGGCATGTTGCTACCCAGCTCTTTAGTAGTGAAACTTTTGTCATTATACTAACTTTTTTAAACGAACGAGAATTAGATAAATAATGTAAAATTAAATTGAATTTATTAGACAATCAGACAAACTTCTGCCCATGAAATCAAGACCAAAACGTAAAATTTTGCTACGTATTCATAATTTGTAATTCTGGCTGTTTACATCGTGTTACACGACAAAAATTTTTAAAAACTGTCATTCTAAATTATATTCTTGTTAACTGGCATGCCTATCATAAATTTACCCGTAGTGACCCGTTATATAATTTTCTTGACTAAACTAGTTCCTTTCTTCAATCGGACTGGTTTAATATCACTGCTCCATCATTCGTCTAGAGATTTTCAACCTTCTTTTGTCTCCATTCCTCTTTTCTTTTCCCATACCGAACATTTTACTGACGGCTTGCAATCTGTTCACTCTTGGTCTTTTTGAAGAATCTCTAACCTTCACGATTTGCGGCTCAAAAAAGCTTACTTATCTTTTCATAAGTTCGCTTCTTAGTGTATGCACTTTACGGCAAATCATCGGTTTTATATTCTCTAGATCAATTGGTTGATCATTACCCGCACTATTTTTCAGTGAAGCTTTGCATGAATGTAACCAAGATAATTCTACTAATCGATTTTCTTTTATATTCTTATGCTATAACTTGCTTAATTCATATACCGTAGGACTATTACCTTTTTGCTCTGCTAGCCTTTCAGTCGCTTAGTATCGAAGATAAATCTTTGTTCCGTACCAATAAACGACTTTTAAAAATAAAACACTGCAAAATTACCTTTCAACTATTTTATATATATGCTTAATTATGCACACCAAAATATTTTATGGTGATATTTGACTGGTTTTTAACTGGTCTAATTCGTGCCATCGTTTTGCGTGTAACTCAATCAAAAAGCAAGTTAAAAAAAAGCATAGCATAAGTGAACAATTATTGCCAAAACACAATGCAATTGCATTACGGACAAGATTAAAAGGATTAATAATTTTTTGGTTAAAAAAATATTCTATTATTTTGGTCGCTTGCTTTTTTTTATTATTTGGTAAAATTTCTATACTCGACCACATTTTGTTGGAGAGACAACATTGAATAAGATCTTTCCGAATGATCGATTTCTGTTAACATTCCTCTTAATGACTGCCCTGAGACGTACCAAATTGACTCGTACCTAAACAACTTTCTCGATAAGCCCAATGTAAGTTCTCTATATAGGCGTACACAAGTGATTATATATCATACACTACTACTATTTTACAAATAATATACGAACAGATTATATAAAATTTGTAAAATAGTTTCGTTTTCCTATTATAAAAAAAAAAAAAAAAAAAAAAAATTAATAACATAATTATATTTATTAAGCATATAATACGCAATAAGCTTCTTAATA